GTTCGTCTGTGGGTGGCATCTAGAAAGTGCTTTGCTGTACTCGCGCACACCTAAACCCGCTTGCAGATTCGTTTCCTGTATACGACGAGCGCGTGAAGTGGGGCATAAGGTCGATTCTGTAAGGTATCTTTTTGTCTAGTAAGTATAGGTGGACTTGCGAAAAATTTCCGAACAGGTAAATATTCCCATGGACTAACCCCAGTAAAAACTTTAATCCAGGAAGGCAGAGAAAGATGACACCCCGTTATTGCAGGTGGCCTTGCATCAAATTCCAAGAGGGAGGTGTTTCAGGGAGAGAGGAGCTAGGATTAGGGTTGGAGTTAGTGTTAGAGTTAGGACACAAAGTAGTTAACCCCGACTGCTGACTGCCATTAGGTGGGGAGGGGTCCATAATACAATACCCGACACCCAACCCTAACCGTAACCCCCAATATCCCTGGAATAAAGCGCAAGGCCACCTGTATAACGGGTGTCCTTATTCCTGTGTCCTACCCTTTACCTTAACCAAGCCCACATATAGTAGCGGTAAAATCATGTATGAAACAGATAGCTAGCGATGGCTCCTACTAAGTGTCCCCTTGAAACAACTCTCAACTGTACTAAGCCTGCGAACTGCGCGTCGTGCTGGCTGAATGAATATGGGGTATGGCACGCAACGCCTAATCAGCCAATGAAGCCAAATTTGTTCCCCGCTAAGGTAGGAAACCCAAGAAAGTATGGCCTGTGTGGTAACATAGTCGTGAACTACCCGGCGAGTCCACGGATGACAGACGTGTTAACGGGCTTAAGCGAAGGTTGGCTAGGAAATCAGTAGATTCTGGAGGTCGACGAATAGACAATCACTGGTCATTTAGCGGCAATACCCGTAGGCGTGGCCGAGCATTGATCTGGTGAATCAGGTACCCTTAAAAAGGGCACTGGCTATTGCGCTATTACAACGCTGCGTACCATCAAATAAGTTTTTAGCCGCTATTGTCTAGCATGGTCGAACTAGAGGAAGCTCCCCTCGCAGCAGACCGCTCCATAAAGCTACTAGCCAGTGAATCATGACTTCATTGAATTTTTGGAGGACTGGGAGCTTTGATCCGCGCGTCCTGCTTCTATTTGGCAACTAATACTACCGATCCCGTAAGACGGAATTCTGGGGCCAGGGTGCGCGACTTGACTTGACCGGAGAGGATTGCAACTGATAATTCCTAAATCTCGATTGGTACGGCTGAGATTACTAGCGAGTCACTGCTGTCACAGCCCTCCCATCAGTTGGTTGTGGTCATTATCCTATCACAAACATCTAGCGGGTGTTTATATACGTGTGTGTG